CCTCCCGAGTGCTGGGATTACAGGTGTGTGCCACCACACCCGGCTTCACTTTTTTTTTTAACATCTCACTTTTGAAAGATACATTTTACAGTAATGAAATTATGTCTCAGTGAAAAAGAAAGAAAATACAAGAGCAAAGATAAAGCAGGAGCGCCCCGGACCTGTCCCAGATGTTGCCGCGCGCATGGCCCTGCTAGGCTCTGTGGGCTCAGGTGCTGCAGCCCACAGGTGCACTGTTCTCTCATAGGACAGAGAGCTCTTTTGCCAGCCACACAGATGGCAGATGCTGTCGTGCACATTCCTGATAGCATGCCCTGAGGTCCTGTCACTGTCCCCCCGCCACTGGGTACTCTGGGCACAGGCAGGAGCAGAGCTGTCTGGGAGCCTGTGGGGACTGGCAACAGGGTCTACTGACCTGGGGCAAAGCCCTGGGCAGGAGCATGGCAGGCAGAGGACCAGGGTGGTGCCTGAGGTCGCCTGCGATGGGGCCCCCCAGTTGGGATGTCAGCATTGGAGTTATTTAGAAAAAATGGGATATAACATCAGTAGAGTTCAGGCCCAGGAGTGATGTGGTCTGATTTCGGGGAGGAGAAACTCACATCACACTTGAGATCATTCCAAAGGGCACAGCTCAGTGGCATTTGCTGTATTTTGCCTCATGCATCCTCACCCGCCAGTTCCAGGATTTTTTTAGCCCAGAATGTGGTGCCCACTTGTTCTGGCCGCCACCCCTCTCTATCTACCTGTCCTGTCCTGTCCTTTCCTCCCGTGTACATTGACTCAGGGCACTTGCAGCCTGCGCTTTCCACTTTAAGCTAAGCATGTGGCAGACGTGAAACCTTGCTCCCTGATGGCTGGGACACCTCTGGTGCCTCTGTCATCTGTGGGTGGCAGAGGTGGTCCCCACTGTGCTGCAGCGAGCACTGTGTTCGTGGTCACCCTGGCTCAGGGAAGGTGGAATGGGGGTGCTGCATAGACTTTGCACATACCGCTTCCCAGAATTCTGTCCACCAGAGGCACGCGCTGTGGCCTTTCGGGCACTGCAAACATCTCCAGAATCCTGGCAAAGTGGAGACTGCTAGCACCTTGTCCTCATATGGCTTCACAAGGCTTTAATGATCTATATCATGACCTACATCTCACTTTAATTCACCTTTATTAGTGGGGTTAATTTTTTCATATGTCCAATATTTTATTTGTACCTTATTATTGTGAATTACCTGTCCCTGCTCTGTGCTCGTATTTTGAAAGATTTCCTTTCTCATGGATTACCAATGTCGGCACAAGGAAGCATCCTGTCACATGACCTAAGCATGTTCTTTCCCTGTCATTTGTATCTTTTCCTTCTAGGCAGCCTTATCCCATTCCTGTCTCCCAGGAGGTCTGTGGTTGGGACCCGGGTCCTCCTTTCTCAAACATGGACAGTGGGCCCCACTGCCCAGCAGTGCTGTTCAGAGGAACAGGCCAGGGTGGACACGACCAGGGGGCTGCTATTCTCTCGGTCCTGTGGCCTCCATCAGACAGTGGCTGACGCATCTTGAGCAATGTGCAGTGGATGCCGGGATGTCCATCTGCCAGACGGCCACCCTAAGCCTGGCAGAACTTAACTGTGGAGATGCTGGCTGGGCTCCCTTGAGTCTGCTGTGTCTATGTGGGGTCCTGGTGGGCACCTCCTCTGACCTGCAGCCCTCTCTCTGCAGGCATCACATGGGGCAAGGTGGTGTCCCTGTATGCAGTGGCCGCGGGGCTGGCTGTGGACTGTGTGCGGCAGGCCCAGCCTGCTATGGTTCATGCCCTGGTCGACTGCCTGGGGGAGTTTGTGCGCAAGACCCTGGCCACCTGGCTACGGCGGCGTGGCGGATGGGTGAGCACTGCGTTGTGTGGAGGTGGGGGTGGTAGGCCAGGGCCTTGGGGCCAGGACAACTCAGGACCTGTGGGCGGCCTTGGGGATGGCTCCTGCTGCCTGGATCTGGCTCCTACCCCACTGTGAGGTCAAGACCGGTGGCTCCCAGGAGGCACCTGGCAGGAGTGGCCAGCAGAGGTGACCCAGGAGAGGCAGCACTCAGACCCTCAGGCTCTATGGGGAGAAGGAGGGAAGGGACAGTGGCTCCTGTCTCCTCCCTGTGCCAGGCAGCCTTCAGGTAAGACCACAGACCCAGCTGGCCCTTGCCCTAACTGCAGGAATCTTGGCTACCCCATAGGAGCCTTTGTCCTGTCTCCTTGGCTCCTCTGGGTCCTATGCCCAGGCCCCTGGCCAGTCATGCTTGGAGATTCTGCCCCATCCTCTGCACCTGGTTTCCCCTCCATGGGGCTGGCTGCACAGTGTAGGGGCGCTGTGTGCATTCTGGGTGGCACTGGGGTCACTTCTCAGCAGAGTCAGTGTCCTCCCAGGAGAGTCTGAAGACAGACTGGTCCTTTCCTAACAGTGTAAGCTCAAAGGGCCCCAGCAGGGATGCTGGGCTTACTGCACCCTGTGAGGCACCTGCCAAGAAGTGGCCCTGGCTGGGGGACATTCACTGGGTTCTGGCCATGTGCTGCCTCCTCTACTTCCCTCAGTAGCCTTGCAGCCCCCTCTGGTGCAGGATGATGGGGCCTAGTGCCTGGCCTTGCTCTCTGATTGTCCTCTCCTCCCTACAGACCGACGTCCTCAAGTGCGTGGTCAGCACCGACCCAGGTCTTGGTTCCCACTGGCTTGTGGCTGCGCTGTGCAGCTTCGGACGCTTCTTGAAAGCTGCCTTCTTCGTGCTTTTGCCAGAGAGATGAGTGCCTTGCCTGGCACCCTGTGCTCAACCTGGGAGTCCTGCAGCACCTGGATTGCCTGTGCCCCTCCTGAGCCCCCTGCCACTGCAGTACCTCACCCTTCTCAGAGCCTCTGCCTGGAAGCCAGGGGAGCTGGCCTCTGTCGCCACGGGCAGCAGCTCCACACTTCCAGTCTGAGGGCTCATGACAGGGTCCCACTGTGTGCGTGGGGAGGGTGTGGGGCTCCAGCCAGCATACCTGATGGCCCAGCACAGGATGCTGTGGAAAAGGACAGTCTGCAGGAGCTGAGCCCAGAGGCAAGTGTGACCCATCTGTCCTTTGTGCTGTCCTCAGGACCTTGAGAACTCAGATGCTGGGGAGCCTGGCCCCTTACAGTCTCCAGAGTCTGACTGTCCCCAGGCTCTCCTCATTGTTAGCAGTTCCCTGGGCAGGGCACGTGAGGTCCTGTAGCCCGCACCAGTCCATCCAGCCCAAATGACATGGCACTGAGGAGGCATGCGGCCAGAGGTGCAGTGATCAACGCCCTTCCTCCAGCTTCCCATGCTATGGGGGCCCCGTGCAGCACTGGGTCAGTGATGGTCAGGTCCCCGAAGGGACGCTGGGAATAAACTCTACTGTTGTTCTCGTGTTAGTCTTATGTCCAGGGTTCTCCTCGGGTGCCATGAGAGGTGTGAGAAGCTGCTGGAGGGAAGGGGGCTCTTGGGACTGCTGCTTTGTCTGGTTACATCTAAAAGCACCAACACTTGTTCCCAACCTTGGAAAGTGAGCACGGACACCCAGGCAGTGAGAGGCAGTAGAAATAAATAGGAGCTCCTGATCGGTTTAAGGGAGGCAGGGCTTGGGTGATGATCTGAGTCAGACTAAAGAGATCATGGGGCTGCTGTTGGCCCAAATCGGCACTAGATAGGGTGGAAAAGAAAAAATGAGCTCAGGGACTTGCATTCCCAGCTTGGGCACCCCATAACTAACTTGTGTCACCATCTCCTTCAGGTGTGGGCTGAGCCCCTGAACTCCAGAGCCAGGGCCCTGTCCTAGTGACCTGAGTGCACATTGAGCTCCCAGCTTCACTAGTGACCCAGCTGATGTAAAGGTTCTGAGAGCGAAGACTCAGGGAAGAAGGGACATTGAGCCCAGAGCTCCGCTCTGGTGGCCCCATCTGCCCTGGTCTTCCTTATCTTACTACAGCCCCTGTATTGTCTCCAGGCACCTTTGCTGCAGGGTGGGGGCTCCCTGTTTGTAGATGCAGACATCCTCCCAAGGCCCACCCCACTCCAGCCCAGGTGCCAGGAGGTAGATATATAGCCTCCCTTTTCTGTTCAACAAGGGTTGAGCCAGACGACTGGTAATTCCTAGTCCTGTTCAGCCTCCAGTCCCAGAGGATGAGGTTTTTGTGCATGAGGTGCCCAGCCCCTCTGATCCATTCTGAGGCCCCTCTTACCCCATGCCCTGCTGTGTCCTGGCCCACCCCAGAGCGCTGTCTGCTCCTCCTGTGCCTGAGAGGGACCTGAGGCCTGTGGGGGTTGCATGGATGTGGCTGGGGGATACCAGCTCTGCTGGCCACCAGACGGAGGGGTCTTGGAGCTGCCTGCCTGAGGAGCAGGTGAAGCTGGGGGAGGGGAAGAACCATGTGGTGTGTAGCTGCCACCTGCCCAGGCTGCCCTCCACCCTCCTGACCTCCCACAGCAGAGGCGTTTGGACATTTCTAGCACAAGAAAGCAATGTTTGGGCACAGGGAACCCAGAGAGCTACAGGGTTTAAGGCAGCTGTGAGGCCAATGGCTGGGTGTGCACACAAGTTACAGGACATGACAGCAGAGACAGCTGTTCCAATAGCAAGAGGACAGAAGGAAAACCCTAAAAATACTTTATAAGACACCAGAATAGATGTGGAGAAAAATTGTTCCTGGGTAGGGAAATGCTCATAATCCTATCACAGTCATGAAGTGAATGGCATCCTTATAAAAGTACTAGGACATTTTCCCCTCAAATCTAAACAAGCTGATTATAAAGTTCATGAGAGAGAAGCAAAAATAGCCAGGGAAACCCCCAAAGTGAAGAGTGGGGCAGAGCCCAGTTCTACCTGCCTCCACTGGACTCAGTGGCACCAAAGCACAAGGAGGCGACACTCAAAGACCCCAGGGCCCCTGAGATAGCGCCCAGGCTGGGGTCACCATGGTGCCCCCACCTGAGAGGAGCGAGCTTCTTGTAAACTTGAGGCAACTGCCAGCTCTGGTGATAGGACCGGTCTGCCCTGAATCCTGCAGGCTAGACCAATGCCATGTGGAGCAAGAGAGAGGCAAACATGAACGATACTAGAAAGAACAGGACTTCCCCTGTAATTGGGGCAGGCAAAATCTTCCTACATGTGTTCAAATCCAGGAACAATAAAGATAAAATACATAGTGGAAAAAGGAAATATTTAACATTGTCAAAATCACTGGTAAGTAAACAAAGTAGTGTAGTGGCTTTCAGGCTGGGGCAGCGAAACGGTTCCATGGCTGGGGGTTTCCTTTAGAAGTAAGTAAGTATGGACACAGAGCGATGGCTACACCACATGGTAACGCGGAATGTTACTGAGCACGTGTTCTAAGACAGTTAAAATGTTGGATTTTGAGTTGAGCGTGGTGCACACTTAGAATCCCAGGGAGGCCAAGCCAGGAGAATTGGCTCGAGTTTGAGGCCAGCCTGGATTGCATGGACTGCATAGTGAGTTCAAGATCAGCCTGAATTAGAGTGAGACCCTATCTCCAAAAAAAAAAGTTGAATTTTATGTTACTAACATTTTGCCTTAATAAAAAATTGCAATTTAAAATGAAGGATATTAGGATTAATATTCCTAATTCAAAAGAGCTGATGAGCTCTGAAAAGAAGAAAAAGAATATAAGAAACATAATCCAAAAGTACCCCAAGACTCTGTTTCCTGCCTCTTGGCTTGGCCCCAGTCCAAATTTGACACCAGTCTCTGTTGTCCATGGGGTGGGCATGTCACCTGAAGTGTGGAGGTGCACAGTGTCCCCGATGGAGGAAGTACCCACAGCCAGGTAAGCACTGGCCCTGTGACTAGCAACCCCACTTCTAGAGCCTCATTCCTGAGATTCCCTGGAAAACACATGACATGTGTACACCAGGCTGTTCACTCTGACATCTTTGATCAGCACAAGATGTGAGCAGCCCCTTCCCCAGAGGGATCTTGCTGGATGAGTGCAGCAGGGCCACCCTCTGGCACCCATGCTGCAGCCCTGCACTCTACGCCCTGGGGGACAAGTGTACCTCATTTTATAGTTCTGACCACAGAAATGTCAAAGCCAGGTGTGGCAACCCATGCCTATTCCAGTAGTCTGTGAGGCTGAGGCAGGGGAATTGCAAGCTGGAGCCTACGTTGGGCAACTTAACAATTTAGTAAGACTGTCTCAAAACAAGAATAAAAAAGGGGCTGGGGATATATAGCTCAGTGCAAAGGCCCTGGGTCCAATCTCCAGTACTGCTGGGAAAAAAAATGAAATGATTTGTATGAGTAAAACTGGCTTAGCAAGAGAATATTCCCCCCACCCCCGTAATGGGTATCAAACTCAGGACCTTGTGCTTGCAAGGCAGCTATGGTGCCACTGAGCTAAATCCCTGGCCCTTAGGAAGAGAGTAATTTCTAGAAATTAAACATTCAATTGTGTGCAAAGTTGGTGACATAATAGAAATCATTCCAGTTACAGTATACTTTAACTTGATACCTTCATTGGGAAAAGTATAGGGAGAATAGCAAAAATACTGTAGCTTGAATCAGCAGACTTCCTGTTAATAACTATTATTTTGAAACAATGATATGTATCATGTAATGTAAAGCAAATAATTCAGTGAACTAAGGTTTTCAGCTTAAAAGATAAAGAGTATACATAAGAAACCTTTGTAACCCTGAAGGCTGGATGGAAACATTAGTCTAAGTGTATGTATGTGCCCTTTGTGCCTGTGCCTATGTAACTGGGAGGAGGCTGGGCTCTGGAGGTGACCCATGTGGCTCAGGACCAACCAGAAACACCTGGCTATGTCCCTGCAGAGCCCTGGAGGCTGAGTGCACAGGAGGGAGAAGCCCAAGCGCCCCAGCTGGGGGACAGCCTCAAGACCCAGTCTGCAAAAGACAGCGCTTGATTAAATGATTGACAGGAGGCTCTTCACCTTCCTGCAGACAGCCTTAGGTGATCTGCAAAATTGTTCACTATTCTCTTGACATGCAAACCCCTCCCAAAGTCACGCAAATCAAGAGGTTTGCATCTTCACTTTTAGAACACCCATGAAACCTCTCAGGCCTCATAGGGTGTGCATAGCCAGAAAGCCACCAAGCATCTGGAAAATGTCACTTTAAGAAGCAATGTGCAGCCCAATGCGGTGGCATATACCTGTAGTTCTAGCACACAGAGTCTAAGGCAGGAGGATCCCAAATTTGAGCCTAGCCTGGGCAACTTAGTGACTTAGCAAGATCTTATCTTGAAATAAGAAAGAAAAGGGCTGAGGATATAGTTCAGTGCAAGGCTCCGGGTTCAATCCTCAGTGGGGGTTAGGGGGGAAGGAAGCAAGGAGTATGTGCCATCCAGTGGTATTAGTTGGTTAAGTTAGCCCAGGCTCAACAGTGACCATCTGGACTCAGGGTTGGTGGCTCAGAAATTGCCGCATGGACGGTAGTGTCCCTGAAGAAGCAGAAGAAACAAACTCAAGCATAAGGGTAAACGCAGCAGAACACAACTGTAAATTAAAGTGAAATAGCTTCTGCCTAGGGCTGAGGATACAACATGGGGAGGTCCCAGGTGTGGGCCCCAGCACTGCAGAAATACAGGGTTACAGTGGAATGGAAGGAGAAGTGTCAGTGTCTGCAGGAGCAGGAGGAAGGTAGTGGTGGCGGAAAGGACAAGCAGTCCATTGGATATCCTCACTCTAAGCACTGGCACCTGAGGGGAAGAAGCTTGGAGGTTTCACGGTGACCACATGGCCTGACGGTGAAGGCAGCAGGCCCGAGGGTCCTGCCACTGAATGCAAAATGGACAAAAGAAGCAGAGGTCAGCCAGATATGGCAGCACACCCGTCATCCCAGCACTTGGGAGGCTGAGGTAGGAGGATCACCTCAAGGTCGAGGTCAGTATGGGCTCCATAGACCCTGTCTCAAAAATCCAATAAATGAATGAGTGAAGTGATGAATGAAGCAGAGGACAGCTACCCTGCATCTGTCACAGGGCTAGGCTGGGCAGTCAGAAGGCCAAGGAGAAATGACAATGCCAACAGGGATAGGCTGCCTGCCAGCCTAGCTCCTTGTGTGCCAAGCTGTGAGGAACCGAGCACCCACATGTACATCTGCAACCAGGTCACAGGACAGGGAACAACAGGAGGAGCCATACAGGGAGGATGCCAAGGACCAGGCAGCTTGGGGACAAGTAGCCAGTGAGCTTATGGCACAGGGAAGGCAATGGAGCTGTTGCAGATGGAAGCATCCCGACAGCTGTCATGCCATTATGAGCAGCTGTGGCCTGGACAAGCCAGTGATCAAGGGCCAAAGCCTGGACAGGGGCTGGGATACTGCAGTTTGCACATTTTGACAAAATGGCATCAGAAGCTGGGGTAGTGGCACACACCTGTAATCCCAGCACTCTGGGAGGTTGAGGCAGGAGGATCTCCAAGTTTTGCCCAGCCTGGGCAACAGTAATTTAGCAAGACCTTGTTTGAAAATTTTAAAGAGGGCTAGGGACACAGCTCAATGTGAAGGCCCTGGGTTCAATTTCCAATCCTCTCCCTTAAAAAGAACACAAAATGGACCAGGACCATGTCAGCCATGTCCCTCTTGTTTTTTCCTGAGAGCCCCCTACCCTGTTCCGTGGTGTACAGGAGGCAGCAGGGCCTCCTGACACAAGCAGCAGCAACAGCTCTAGTCCAGACCCTGGTTCCCCCTGCATGGCACAGACACCCTGCCCTCCCTCCCCCACAGTGGCCAGGTTGGGTGCTTTCAGCCAAAGGCCTTGTGTGATGCAGATCAAAGCTGTAAGGTGTCAAGTGGGTTGAGCAGTGGTGCAAAAGCCCAGTAAGCGCTTAAAAAGTGTCTCATAAACGCTATCACCATGAAGGCAATGCTACATTGCAGAGTACAAAGGGCTGGCCTGTCCCCCAGGAGTGCCCTGACCACCGGGACAGGCCCTGGACTCTGTCTAAAAAGTGATGAGAAATAATAGCAATTCTTTTTTAGGGGTTTTGTTTTGAGTAAAGGTCTTGCTGTTGTCCAGCCATCTTCCTGTCCCAGCCTCCTGAGTGTTAGGACTACCAGTGCATGGTACTAGGCTACCAGTGCAAGCCAACATGTCCAGTGTGGCAATCCTTTTGGTTCCATCTTTTGTCTTCAACTTGTTGACTATCTACTGAAAATTCGTATGTTGTTTAGTTCACTGTGTATGGGGGCGCGGAGAATCAGAAGATGAAAAAAATGTACAATTTGCACAGTGATAATGTCCAAAATCCTCAGCCATAAAAATAAAGGCCTTTTATTTGGTTTCTCTATGCCATTATAGCAACCTCTGGACTACTCTCCACTGTGGGCAGCAGGACCCCTGCTGCTGTGACCATGCCAGGCCTGCAGGCACTGCCGCTGGCTCGGGTCAGGGGGTCACCTTCTTGTAGGTGACGCGAAGATGCTGAGTCATTGGCTGTGTTGTGGTTGCCATGGAGACTGTCTGTTCGAGTTTGCCTTCAGAATTCAGCCGGAATTTTCGGGTGATCTGAGTGGAGAACAGAATACAACAGCTTCGTTTTCTCTCAAAAACATTCAACAAATGTGGGAGTACCCACCTGTGCCAGGACCTTCCCCAGGCCTGGGAAGCCGCCAGCATCCCCACCAGCAGATGACAGACACTGAGCAGGCATATACAAGTTGGACTCTCCTGCTGGGAGGGCCTCACCGCAGCCTGGATGAGCTGCCCTGCTTCACAGCCAGCAGAAAAAAGCCCACTTCCGTGAGAGTCGGAGCACACATGCCCTTTCCATCGTCCTAAGCCAGCGAGAGAAATACAGGCAGTGCTCCATGGACCCATGCTCCAGAAGTGGGAGGCGGGTCCTGCCTCTGTGGCCACTCCTGTCTCTCACAGACGTCAGTTTTTTGTAGTTCTGGGGATAGGACCTAGAAACCTGCACTGCACTGCACATGGGCCTCCTTTTATCTTCTGAGAGAGGGACTTGCTAAGTAGCCCCAGGCTGGCCTCAATCTTGTGATCCTCCTATCTCAGCCTCCTGACATGCTCCACTGCACCTGCATAAAAGTCACTCTTTTTTTGGTACCAGGGATTGAACTTGGGACCTTGTGCTTGCAAAGATAAATCCCTGGCCTAGAAGTCACATTTTAAAAAATCTGTTTAAGAGCATCATGGGTGCGGTGGCACACAGTACCTGTAATCCTAGCACTCAGGAGCCTGAGGTAGAAAGATTGTCAATAGTTTGAGGCCAACCTGGACTACATAGAGAGATTCTACCTCAAAAGCAAAAACAAAAACAAAACAACAACAAAAGAAAACCAAATGCATCATTGAGGCAACCAGAATCAAAGCCTCCAAGAAAGGAATGGAAATGACACCAGCTGGGAACACTGTTGGTCTCCAGGCTGTGAGGAGCTGGGTGTGAGGAGGTGGTGCCCAGGGCTGGATTCAGAGCTGCCTATAGGGGAAAGGGTTATGAAAAGGGGCTGAGCTCTGTATGTGTACCAGCTCCCCCAAAGAGTGCGATCTTTATGTACTGCAAGTATCCATCAATGAAAATAAAAATTAAAAATAAAAACAGGACAAGGAGCACTCATAACTTCATAGCAAGAGACCGAATGCCCTTCCCTGAGAGACAGAGGGAAGCCCAGTGTGTATTCTCACCGTGTACCTCCAACACTGCAGCTAGGCCAGCCCAGGGAGCAGGAAAGGAAACAGAAGCGAGCTGTCTCCAACAGCAGATGACACAGTGTCTGTGTGGCAAGCCTAAGGAGAGCCCGGATGAAACTCTGAGGCCTGTTCCCGCCTGCCCTGCCAAGGTGACTGCAGACAGAAGCAGAGGGCGTGGGCCCGGGGCAGGGAGGAGGCTGTCACGTGAATGGGACAGGTCTATGATCAAGGGGTGTATGTCAGAAGAGAAGCCACCTGAGCCCGTGGCCTCACTGTGCACAGAAAGGCCCAGGAACTCCCCCGAAAGCTGTCCCGACTGGGCTGCCCATGCACAAACCAGCAGGAAGGAGGGGCCCCTCGAAGAGTCCCCACAATGCTGTATCCTCCTGACTGCCCACACCAACCCACCTGGCACATCGGTCAGCCAGGTCACTTGGAGGCCCAGGGCCTTCCCAGCACCATGTCTGGGCCCCAACTCCTGTCTCTGCCTCCCCATGCACAGGAGGAGATGTTCTTGCTTCATCCAGAAACCCAAAGCCAGTCTTACAAACACAAATAAAACTGGGGTAGAATAAACACTGGCAAGTGAGATTAAAAAAGAAAACACAGACACACACACACAAAAACAGAAGAAAAATGACGATGCAGACTGGCCAATGAATAGTGTGTCTATCTTCCCATAACTTCCTGATGGGTCAACACTCAGAGATAATAGCAGGGAGCCCACCAGAGACAATCAGGGGAAGAGAGAGCTGGCATCAGGGCCAGGTACGTCTGAGAAATCTGCTGTCAGTGACAGTTCCCATGGTGGGCAGTCTTTGTTAAAAGAATAGAAAAAGCAGAAAAGCTCCCAGATCAGGCTACAAATAATATTTATACCAAAATACATAATGATATCTGAAAAAATTATTTAATATATTGTACGAATAAGAGTTATCCCCCCAAAACAAATATGACTCAATGTTTTAAAGATACTAATGTAATTTACTATATTGACAAGTGGAGAAACCACAGAATCTTCCCCGAAGAGGCTGTATGTAAAAGCATTTGATAAAATTACACAGCCAACCATGGTGCTGCATGCACATGGGTAATCCCAGGATTTAGGAGGCCAAGACAGGAGGATCACTGTGAGTTTGAAGCCAGCATGAACTACATAGTGAAACCTCAGAAAAGAAAAACAAATGCCTTATAGCTTGTTTTGCTGCTGAGGTTTGAACCCAGGGCCTTGACATGCTGTGTAATGCTCTGTCACTGAGCTGCACTCCAGAACCTAAAGCCCATCCCTGCATATGGTCCTCAGCACATTGGAAACGGAATCGTCTTAACCTGACAAAGGCATTTTTTCGCCAGAAGGTGACCTACAGAAACACCTCCTAAGCAGCGACAAGCATTTCTGCTACAGTTGGAGATGGTCACTTACTCAGGGCTGTGAAGGGGTCCAGCTGCCAGGGACACAGACATGTCCCACAAAGCAGGGACAAGAGACACCAGAAGCCTTGTTTATTAGGCAGTGATTAAGGGATGAAGAAGTAAAACACTTCTAGGTATACAGCAATTAATTACTGTTGTTCTGTTATGCATAAAGCGCTTGAGCTTAACATGAAATGTGTTAGATCTGTATGATTAAAACCATACAGAAATAAAGCTTAAAAAAAATAGAGCTGGGGATTTGGCTAAGTGGTTCTGCTGCCTGCTTTGCAAGTGCAAGGGCCTGAGCTCAATCCCCATACCAAAAAAAAGAAATAAAGCTTTTGGGCTGGGGACAGAGCTTAGTGGTGAGCACTTGCCTAGCATGAGCAGGGCCCTGGGATCCATCCCCAATACCAAAAATAAGTAGTAAGTAGAAAGAAATAAGAGTTTTGATCTATACTGAAATATGTCCAAGACCAGGAACCGCTACACAATACTGCTATGCTACAGCCTCCTGTTAAGGAAAGATGTCACTTTTCCTCAAACTGACATGTTCAACTCAATCTGATGTACATTTTAGGGACCCTAAGAGGCTCATTTGAGTTCATATATATGGGCTTTGGCTCATTGGTGAGCATTGACCAGCAAGTGTGAGCCCTGGGTTCCATTCCAAACACCACACCCCCCAAATTTATCCTGAAGAGGAAATGCTTAAGAATAAGAAAATGAGAAAAGAATATGAAGGACTTTCCTTTAGATACAAAAATGGAATAGAAAGCTGAGTGAATTTAAGCAATGAGTTACTGGGGAAGAAGTAGCAGCACAGAAGAAAAACTGAACCTGGTGCTTATGCAGGATGGTTGGGCAGGCTCAGCGCAGGCCTCGTGAAATGGGGTGAGCGCTGCCAGTCATGATCTGGGAAAAGCTGGAGCTGGGCACTGCATCAAGCAAGACATACACTGAAAGGAATTCAAGGTCTAAATGCAAAAGGAGAGCTGCAAGAGCACGAGAGTGTAGCAGAATGGTTTTTATCATTTTTGGAGTAGAAAACACCTTCCTGTACAGCAACTGATTCAGAGCGATCGGGAACCTCCTGGGATGGCACAAGGAAGCCCTGCGCCCATGAGGCAGAGCCCACTGTAAATAGAGCCATAGTCGAGCAGACACTGGTCCAATACAGAGCAGGCACACATTGATAGCTGGGCCGTAAAAAGCAACCTGACTGACAGGCCGGGGATTTAGCTCAGTGGTGCCGCCACCTGCCTTGAAATGCAAGGTCCTGAGTTTGCTCCCTGGTACAAAAAAAAAAAAAAAAAAAAAAAAAAAA